GAAAAAAACAAGAGCAGCTGACAGATGTCATGACAAATCCCCTCACAATGGATGCATTTTAGAAGATTTGAATGCAGTTAAGAATTTGCCAAAAATTCCTGATTTAACTAGTTGTAGATTTGTAGTTGATAACTAGTTTAAGGGAGGGAATGAAATTTTTTTTAGGAATTCAGTTAGATTTTATTTAAATAAGTCCTAGTCAGAATTTATTTTAATAAGTCCTAGTTTTTAGGATTTTTTCTATTACTATGATGGCTTAAGTAGTGATCTTGTTTTTCTCTATTATTGTTAGGGTTGTAAATGTTATTTTTTTTACAATTTTTTTATACCGATTGTAAAGGTTATTTAAGTCTCAGTTTAATTCAATAAAAAATAAGTCATTTCTCTTCCAGCTTATCATATTTTATTCTTAATAAAAAGATTGACATTTTTGCTCATTGGAACATATCATATTTGTTGGAATTAATTTATATTTTAGGAATATCTTATTGATTAAGTTTGTTAGAGGGTATTTTAGTATTCTATTATACCCTAATTTTATGTATAAATAGCCTAGTAGTAGGTAGGTCAATGTAATTCATTATTCCTTATTTTGTAGCCGTCATTCAATATATTCCTTTTATGTTTCATCTCTCCTTTGTGCATCAATAATTGGTATCAGAGTCTTTGGTTCGAAAAAAGGACCAGAAGAGTGGGGAAGCATTATGGACTAACACTTGAGGGGGAGTGTTGAATAATATAGCAAGTGTGAGTAAGTGGGGAAAAAGTTTCACATTGGATAGGAATGTGGAGACTTAAGCATATATAAGTGGGATAACCCACTCACCTATCACCTTAAGATTTTTGGTGGATAAGTGGTGTGTCTCTCACAAATGTGCTTATTTCAACACTATGTATCAATGCTCCTAGTAAATCCCCCCAACAAGGTATTAGATCCTTTGGTTCTAAATCCACGGGGAAACACGGGAAACACGAGTGAACAATAAGGTATTGTGTGATTGAGAATCATTTTTTCTAATTCTGTGAGATTTGGGAAACACTGTGTTTTAGTAAGTTTTTTTGCGTGAATTGCACAAGGTTGAAGATGAACAGAAACGCTGATATCAACTCCAAGCTTCCAGTGTTTGATGATAAAAACTGGAATATTTGGAAGATCCAGATGCATGTGTTGTTTAACTCTCAAGATGTGTTAGAACTTGTCACCGATGGCTATGATCTGTTAGCAGCAGACGCAACAGAGGCACAAAAGATTACACAGAAGGCGCTAAGGAAGAAAGATCAAAAGACATTGTTCTACATCCATCAATGTATGAATGCAAATTTTTTTGAGAAGATTGTTGATTCTGAAACAATAAAGGCTGTGTGGGACACACTTGTCAGATGTTACGGTGGTGACGCATCAGTGAAGAAGGTGAAGCTTCAGTCTCTCAAAAAATATGACAATCTCAACATGAAGGACAACGAGAAGGTTTCAAAGTACATCTCTAGAATGATTCTGATCACTAATGAAATGAAAGTTTGTGGAGAAACTCTTTTTAAACAAGTAATCATTGAGAAGATATTGAGATCTTTAACTTCTCAGTTTGATTACATTTTGGTAGCAATTGAACATTCTAAAGATATGAGCACCATGAGAGTTGAAGAGCTGCAAAGTACTCTAGAGGCACATGAGTTGCGTATGACATAGAGAAATTCTGAGAGGGAAGTAGAGAAGTAGGCTCTGAAAGTAACTTCTGGTAAGAAGTATCAGAAGCAGACTTGGTCAGAAGCTAGGAAGAAAACTAATGACGGTCAAAGTTCAGAAGCTTCAAACTCTGGTTGACAGAAGAATGTCCAGAAGGGAAATGAGAAGTCTGATAAGAAGAATGTTCAGTGTTACTGTTGCAAGAACTTTGGTCACTATGCAAAAGATTGTTGGTCGAACAAAGAAAGGGAGTTAGAAGAAGCATATATAGTCAGAGGAGAGTGTGATGATGAACTTGTGCTATTGTTGGCTTTTGAACCTGATAATATGAATTCATCATAATGGTGGTATATGGACACAGGATGTTCAAACCATCTTACTGGAAACAAGAAATGGTTGGTTTATTTTGACTCTGGGAAGAGTACAAATATCAATTGTGCTGATGATAAATACCTCAATGTAGAAGGTATGGGAAATGTCAGAATCATTCTAAACAATGGGAAAGCAACAATGATCCATAATGTATGGTATCAGAGTCTTTGGTTAGAAAAAGAGACTAGAAGAGTGGGGGAGCATTGTGGAATCACACTTGAGAGGGAGTGTAGGAATAATATAGCAAGTGTGAGTAAGTGGGGAAATAGTCCCACATTGGATAGGAATATGGAGTCTTAAGCATATATAAGTTGGATAATCCACTCACCTATCACCTTAAGGTTTTTGGTGGATAAGTGGTGTGTCTCTCACAAATATGCTTATTCTTACACTACATATCAATGCTCCTAGTAACTCCCCCCAACTTGGTATCAGAGCCTTTGGTTCGAAATACACGGGGAAACACGAGAAACACGAGTGAACAATGAAGTATTATGTGATTGAGAATCATTTTTTCTGATTTTGTGGGATTTGGGAAACACTATATTTTAGTGAGTTTTTTTGCGTGAATTGCACAAGGTTGAAGATGAACGGAAACACTGATATCAACTCCAAGCTTCCAATGTTTGATGATAAAAATTGGAATATTTGGAAGATCCAGATGCATGTGTTGTTTGACTCTCAAGATGTGTTAGATCCTGTCACGAATGACTATGTTTTATTAGCAGCAGATGCAACAGAGGCACAAAAGATTACACAGAAGATACTAAGGAAGAAAGATCAAAAGGCATTGTTCTACATCCATCAATATGTGGATGCGAATGTGTTTGAGAAGATTGTTTATTTTTAAACAGCAAAGGCTGCATGGGACACACTGGTCAGATGTTATGGTGGTGACACATCAGTGAAGAAGGTGAAGCTTCAGTCTCTCAGAAAGCAGTATGAGAATCTCAACATGAAGGATAACGAGAAGGTTTCAGAGTACATCTCTAGAGTGATTTTGATCAATAGTGAGATGAAAGCTTGTTGAGAAACTCTTTTTGAACAAGTAATCATTGAGAAGATATTGAGACCTTTAACTTCTCAATTTTATTACATTATGGTAGCAATTAAACATTCCAAAGATCTGAGCACCATGAGAGTTGAAGAGTTGCAAAGTATTCTAGAGGCGCATGAGTTGCGTATGACTGAGAGAACTTCTGAGGTGAAAGTAGAGCAGCAGGCTCTGAAAGTAACTTCTTGTAAGAAGTATCAAAAGCAGACTTGGTCAGAAGTCAGGAAGAAAACTAATGATGGTAAAAGGTCAGAAGCTTCAATCTCTGATAGGCAGAAGAATGTCTAGAAGAGAAAGGAGAAGTCTGACAAGAAGAATGTTCAGTGTTATTGTTGCAAGAACTTTGGTCACTGTGCCAAAGATTGTTTGCCGAACAAAGAAAGGAAGTCAGAAGAAGCAAAAATAGCCATAGGAGAGTTTGATGATGAGTCTGTGCTATTGTTGGCTTCTGAACATGATAATATGAATTCATCAGAATGGTGGTATATGGACACAAGGTTTTCAAACCATCTAACTGGAAACAAGAAATGGTTGGTTGATTTTGACTCTGAGAAGAGTACAAATATCAGATGTGCTGATGATAAATACCTCAATGCATAAGGTATGGAAAATGTCAGAATCATTTTAAACAATGGAAAAGCAACAGTGATCTAGAATGTATGGTATCAGAGCCTTTGGTTCGAAAAAGGGACCAGAAGAGTGGGGGAGCATTGTGGACTCACACTAGAGGGAGAGTGTTGGAATAATATAACATGTGTGAGTAAGTGAGGAAATAGTCACACATTAGATATGAATGTGGAGACTTAAGCATATATAAGTGGGAGAACCCATTCACCTATCACCTTAAAGTTTTAGGTGGATAAGTGGTGTGTTTCTCACAAATATGCTTATTGCTACACTATATATCGATGCTCCTAATAACTCCCCAACAATATTAAGATATATTAGGACTTGAGAATGCTCTAATATTATTACTTGCATATTCGAAAAATAAATGATGGTTTCATATTCTTATTGTATATGCATTTTCTTTGGTTCTTTCACCAATTTTTTTTGTGTTTCAGCGTGATATTTAGTCATTGCATGTGGAAGCTCGGTTGCTTCATTTGTAATGGCAAATAGTTTTTTATTGGCCTTAGTGTTGTGGCAATTGCTTCAATTGTTGAAGGGTTTATTAGAGTTATACTACATATTGCTATTATGCAAGTAAATAATTAACAAGTTCGAAAGTGTATTTTTTTAAGGGTCTATTATTGTAAATGTGGAATAAAATAAATTCAATATTAGTTGTAGTTAATAGGTGACCAATGGCCATAGTGTGAGGAATTAAAATTTCTTTTCAATTGCATGCATTTTTTTTGGCAATCGAACTATGAAGCAAGAAGTAATTAAGAAAATATTATTGTCTTGCAATAACAACACATATGGGAGAAGCCTATCACATGTATTGTCTTATCTATATTCTTTTTGTAGTTACTCTTTATTTGTTCAATCAATAAATATAATATTTCGTGTGTAGCTAAAATTTTATTTATATGGTTTTTTTGAGTTTATATGATGGTTCATTTCTCAATCATTTCAAATTCAAATTTACAAGTGCATATAAATACATTGTACATTAACAACAACACATCTATAATTCTAGTTTTAGCACAAAAAGTGTATATAAGAGACGTTTGGTTTTTTTTTTATAGTAACTTGCTTTCTAAAGTTTATTTAGAGATATAAACATACATTCACAAGACAACATCCAATTTACAAAGATGAAATGTGAGTTGTTCAATCTCAATCTAATAGTCGAGTTGTGTGACTATGAAAAATGTGTGATCACTTTTATGCTAGACAAGCTATAACTTATCTATTCATTTAGCAAAGTAAATGGCTAATCAGCTAGCTAATTTGTGTATAATTAAAGTGATGATTGGTGGAGGCAAGATAGGCATGAGCTAACTGGATGCCCAAATGAACCTCAGACGTTGATGTAAGGTGAAGATTATCTCCCTTAAGACGCAGTCCTTTAGCATCAACGCACCTCACATTAGGAAGTTTGATACTCAATTGAGCATATCTCACCATATTTACGAACTTTCCATCTCCTGATGCAAGTGCTACCTGAATAACAAGAAGATTTGGTAGTTTAAGATCTGATCGAATATTATGAATAAACCTTTCCATTCTAGTCTTATAAGCCTTAGCATCTTCTTCTCTTACAGTATCACTCTCACCTTGATACCAAACAAGTGCTCTTATTACACCACCATTCTTCACCGATTTAATACTTCGTTTCACCAATCGATTATACAACCGAGAACCCTTTCTCCACTCTTCAATTCTCGTCCCACCAACCGCACAGGGAACAAGTCCCACAACATATCTTCCTCCGCCGCCACCTCTCATTCTAACTATCTCATTTGCAAATGCAAGCCCGGGCCCAATACCCCAAGATATTCTCGTATCTATATCTCTATGAAGAGGCTCACGTGCTTCTTCCCAAACTAGTTTTGCATTTAGTCTCAAAACTGATGGGCTTGGCTTACACTCTTGTGGAACATCACCATCCCATTTTTCATTATAAACACCTCCTAGACCAGCCATGTTGCTTTGTCCAGCCAATATGAAAATATCTTTTGTTGCGTTGCATGTTACAACCAAAACAGACAAAAACATTATAAACATAAGCGACATTATTAATGTTTGGAGCTAAGTAAAATATGTGTTTGTGATTGTGTTTAGGGTTTGAGAAATGGAATCAATTATTATAAGCGTGAATGAGGTAACAGTTTGTGTTAGGAATATCATGATCATAGGCTAAACCGTCGCTAATTAGGTTTTCAGCATGCTTCATGAGGGACTCGCCGAGGATTTCGCAACTATATATGATGATAGATAGTTATTTCATTATGTTGTTGGCACTAAAAAACTATATTATTGTATCTATATTTTGTTAGGTTTAACTTAATAACTGACTCTATCCATAATACATGATTGGTTAGATGCATATTTTTTTTAACTTTTTAAAATGTAAATACCTTGACACCTAATCATGGTTGGTTACTATATTTTTGGTCGAAATCATTAAAAAAATTAATTTATATCGAATTAAATTATTACAAAAAAGTGACATACATTAGAGAATTTCTTACGTATCCAACAAAATTCTAAAGGTAAAGTGTGTTTACTTTTTAAAAATAAATAAATTGTTTTATTTACAAAATTTTAAATAAACAATTGATTTAAAAAATTGTTTATAAATATATTTTGAGTGTTTATAAATATATTTTAAGTGTTTATTCATTGTTTATAAATAAGTGTTTATAAATTTAAGATTTCTTAATTTAATATAATAAATAGGTTTAATTAGTATGTTATACAAATTTAAATTTAAAATTAAAATTAAAATTAAATTAATTCAACGGGTCATTTTGGTCGGGATAGTTGTCAATATTAAAATTATTTTTGTTTCCGTCATCCTTCAGCTCTTGACCACAGACATTTTGATTTTCACTAAACCGTTGCATAAATTGCTTCATTTGTTGTTCCATATCAGCTTGTCTCTTTGTCATGACCTCCATTTGCCGCTGTGACTCTTGCCTCATTGCATCTATTTGGGGCTCCATTTGAGTCTTCATTGCCGCCTCATGTTGCGCTGACTCGCGTCTCGCCTCATTTAACGTTAATTTACTTACTGTTTCAAGTTGTTTCGATGTCAAGTTTGGTTACGCGACCTCCTTCCTCCTCTCTAACTCTTTGAAATATAGTTTTATCCTTACTTCTCAAGGTGCCCGCCAAATTTCCACCACAAAAAAAACAACTGTTATGCCCCTTTTCGCCATTGACTTTACTCTAAATATAAAAATTCACATTTGAATGAAGCGACTCTCCCTCTCGCGGAGTATATTGAGGATTATGAGCTAGAAATTCTGCGAGCAATATTTGATAATCCTCCTACACATTCAATAAAAAATTAGGTTAAATATAAATTAAATTAAATTAAATAATATATGAAATATAGCCATGTGATTTTCACACCACGATTTCTCAATTGCCACGTGATTTTCATGCCAGAACTTCTCAGTTGCCACGTGAAGATCACGCCACAATGTTGCCATTAAGTTAAAAAATATATATAAACAATGTAAATTTAATAACTTACCATAGCTTTTTGTGTACGTTCGTCAACAAAATCCCCTGTTTTCTTTATCCGAGTCTTTTTAACCAGCTCAATCATCAGCGGTGGTCTCCTCTAAGTCTTAGTCTAAATAATAAAATTAACTTTAATTAATATTTAAGAATGCTAGTGTAAAATTAGCCTGAAATGCTGGTGTCTCCCAATATTTAAGAAATTCATCAAAAACTGGATGGATACCTAGAAGTTCCCAACGATGTCTAACACGTCGTAGTATGTCAGAAAGTCATCTTGAGATTATGCTATAATAATTTTTTTAATCTACCTCTCATTCATTGGGTTTCACATTAAAATAAATAGTTAAATAATAATAATGAAAAATTCAAATAAAAAACAATAACTAAAAAATAAATAAATTATATCTTAAATTTATCAAACCAAACTTCTTTATTTGGAACGTCTTTAAAACTCTTCCAAAATTCTTTATACATCTTTTGAATTATATAACTTATAATCTTGACAACAGTCTGATTCGTCCCGAAACGAAACAACAATAATTTGAATTAGCAATATTAAATATAAAGTTATATTAAAAATAGAAATGTATACTTAAATAAAAATTTATAAATAAGAAACTTACGAGCTTTCTACGGGCCAAATTTAAAATCTCCCATCAATGACATGAATCTGACTCAGATCATTATTCATTCGAATATCGTTTACATCCAACACATCATCGTCCCCATCCTGATCGTCATCATTCGGCTCCACATGGTCATCCTCACGTGCAGGTACATGTGTGGGATGTGGGGTGCGGGAACCTCCAGTCTAATATATTTGTTTTTAATATATTATATTATTCTATATTCTGTTTTGATTTTTTTTTTACAATAACCAAGTATTAAAATAATATTTCGCAAATAACCGCGTTTCAGAAAAAATTACGCAAATAACCATGTTTCAGATGACTCCCCAAAGGAGGAACCATCTCACTTGGTGCCTCCACCCCTAGATTTTCCCTAGGCGCCATCTCACTTGGCGCCTCCCTTCACTTTTAGCAAAGTGAGATGGCGCATGCTCTTTAAAAGTGAGAGGAGGCGCCATCTCACTTGACTACTAGGGCAAAACTAGGGCAAAATGTTGTTTTATAAATAATTCGTCCGTTTCTCCGAAATTTTGCACACTTTCTCGCACTGTATTTTTATTTTTTACTCTGTTATTTGCGTCATGACGTCGCCCATGATTTTTAGCAGAGATGGTTACGTTATCTTCTCTGCCACAAAACCTGCGATGAAAATGAAATTCTGGCACATTCACTCCATGCAGCGTCTGAAGAGGGAGTTGATGCGATGGCTAGATGGAGACATTGCGGAGGGGGAAAAAATTCGAAGGATCCAGTGAAAACGAACAACAACCTCACATGTGACAGGAAGACCTAATGTATGGTTGGAGGAAGTCAAAACAGACAGCGATGTAATGTTGATGATGCATGGGTCAGATGAAATTGTGTTAATAGTTATAATTTCTTAGACGAAATATCGTTAATTTTTCTTGTACGCGAATTATTTATTGTAGCAAAATCTGTTAACGGAAAACCCTAATGTTTACAACAAAATTAAGGAAAGATTTTATGTATTACAATTTTTATGTGGTCGAGGCAGACGCCCGATTCAGATAATTTTTGCGATTGTGTCCGACCTGACGGCATAAACCACCCTTTCTTTCCAACTTGTCAAGATCGTCCATTTCTGTTGTGATGCACTTACTTTTGGGATGACCCTTCTTGTTCCTTCGCATTTGGTCATTGTGCCACACTATTTCGCCGTCGTATGCAGGCCAATAATTTGGTTTTGCTACCAAAGGAAATTTGTTGTTGTAAAAGTTGAGCAACATTTCAGATTTGTAAATGTTTGACAGAAGTTGCAGCGCATCTTGATGGGTATGAGCACAAGCGGCATTGACATGAGAGCAAGGCATACGAAATGCTTGAAACCTGCCACAATCGCACAAACGAGAAGGTAGCATGACCCTATATTCTTGTCTTGGCAGGCCTTCGTTGTGGTTGATTGTCTATTTCATAATGAAGTTGTGGCTATGTCGGTCAAACCGTATAACCATTTGAGTGTTGGCTTTGGCACTTTCTGCCTTAATGTATTTCATGCAGCTTTCACTCCATTGTGGTCCAGATTGCAACACCGCATTCAACATTTCACCTCTTTTGGCAAATAACGCAGCCATCCTAAAATACGTAGATTTTACCAAAGGAGTGATCAGGAGGTTTCATATGCCTTTGAATACCCCATTCATTGATTCAATAAGATTCGTTGTCATGTGCCCCCATCTTTGGCCATTGTCGTATGACCTAGTCCATTTTTCCACCGGAATATTGTTGATCCACCTACCGGCTTCCGGATTTGACAAACGGATCTCGTTGCGGTAATATTTGAATGTGGGTTGTGTTAATGCATATCCCGCATTCATAACCGCTTTCCTTAATGTTTTGTCCTTGATCTCCCTCGTGAAATTCTAGACGATATGCCTCAAGCAATAGACATGCGTAGAAGGAGGGTCATGCCAACTGTTTGTAGGATTATTGTAGGCACTTTCAATGGAGGCATGTCTGTCCGAGATCAAACAGAGATCTGGTTGAGGAGCCACGTGTGTCCGCAGATTTTTCAGAAAAAAGCTTCAAGCACCACCGGTCTCCCCCTTGACAAGGGCAAAGGCAATGGGAAAAATGTTGTTGTTGCCATCTTGTGCAACTGCCATCAGTAGCGTGTCTTTGTACTTCCCATACAACCAAGTCCCATCAATTTGTATAATTGGTTTGCATGATGCAAACCCTGTGATGCAAAGTTGAAATTACCAAAACACTCGACTGAATATTCTGTTGCCGTTTAGTAGACTACCATCTTGGGTGTATGCTGGCACTGTTTCCAGAATGTAAATAGTACCCGGAGAATACGTCTTGAGTGCATTTAGGTAGCGAGGAAGTTCTTGGTATGACTCCTCCCAGTTTCCGTACACCTTTTCAATTGCCTTAGTCTTTGCTAACCACGCCTTACAGTAAGACGGAGTGTAGTTAAAAATCGTGGTGATGTGGGAGATGATTGTTTTCACCTTCAAAGATGGGTCATTGCTGACCAGGGGTAGGATTTCTTGACAGATGAGATCGTAGTTAAGTTTTCGATGGTCCTGTGATTGGGTAGAACTTAAACAAGTGTGGGTAGTCATGGAACCTATGACCCAACGGTCACCTCTTAATCTGTATGATGCAGTCAGCTTGAACATACAGTCAGGGTGGACACACTTAATCTTGTACCTTTTCGGGTTGACACGATCCACCTTAAAATCAACCGAGTTGAGCATGTGGAATTTTTTTATGGCTCTGATGCATTCCTCTATGTTATGAAACTTGTCCTTCTCTTTTAAATTTTCATCCGACTGCATATACGGATTGAAAAATAAGTCAGTAGAAGGTTCATCTCCGCCCATGTTGAAGTTTGTCATGTGCGGAGGTGGTGTGTAGATTTCGTTTGCAGGAATACTAGGTATGCCA